TTGTGTTTATCTGTTAATACTAGCCCATTGTTCCCGGTTCCTAGTCTACCCTTTCCATCAGAGGTCATCCCAGTGACTGAACCACATAAGGCTATGGTCTATCTCACCTTCAATCTCCTCCTTATGTAAGAGTGCCTTATCTCTTCAATGCCTCCAGTATTTTCTCTCTTTTTTTTTTTTTTTGGTCATGTAATGTGAGCACCAAAAAGGGCTTGATGATGTGAATTTGTTGGGAGCTGTTAACACTATGAGAACAACAATGAAACCACATTGTCATGGAGCCCATTTTGACTCATGGAAGTCCCATGTGTTACAGAGGAGGGATGAGCTCCATATCATTTTCTTGGCTGTAATCTTTACAAAGTAGGCCATCACGCCTTTCTTCCTTGGTCCCACTAGATGAGTTTCGACTGCCAAGATTTAGGTTAGAAGTCAAGCATGACACAACATATCTGTGCCACCCAGTGATCTCACAACATCTAGGGTCATTCTGCAGATTATCTTTACAACTCCTAGGTGGTCCATGATATTTTTAAAGTGTCCTGGACTCAGTCACCTGGGCAATCAGTGTTGGTCATGGTATCTTTCATGTACTGATTATATCATTTCCTCCACTTCATTGCTTCCAAATATCCTGTTTCTTTTCTTTCTTTTTTTTTTCTTCTCCAAATTATTTTTACCCAATTTTGATGACTTTCCAGATTAGTGCAACCAACTCATGATTTCACATCTTCCCTCATTTTGGCGACTACTGCTTCATTCCTCTCTCAGTCTGCTTGTTACTTCTTCCTGATTTTACTTTACTGTCTTGTCCTCTCTCTTGTTTTCTTCTTCTAGGACATAAGAGCCAGTGTTGAGAAGATAAGTCAGTTCTTGGGGAAGAAGCTAAGTCCTGAGGAACTCAACTCAGTTGTCAAGAATGTATCTTTTAATGTCATGAAAAATAACAAAATGAGCAATTTTTCCCTCATGCCAGATACCACTCTTGATCACAGCAAAGGACAATTGATGAGAAAAGGTAAGAAACACTTTTCTAAACATGGAACATGAAGGAAATGGACAACTAATAACCCTACTTCTATAGATGCGCTAAGTTATTGTGCAAGGAGATGGTTTGTATGTTAAAAGTCACATAAGAGCCATCTGTTCTGAAAGATGAAGAATGAGTTGTGATATTTATAAGCTGAGAAAGATTTGTGAAAATGAAGCACTATTGCTGAATAATTTATCTCTGTTAATTATCTAGTCTAAGCTAATTTCAACAAGATAGATAGACACAGTGGCTTCAACGATGGGCCCAGGCATAGCAAAGATTGTGAGGATGGTGAGGACTGGGCAGTGTTTCGTGATGTTGTCCACGGGGTCGCTATGAGTCGAAGCCAGCTCAGTGGCACCTAACAACAAAAACACAACACAACAGTTTATTTCCTGGGTGGTACAAATGGTTATGCACTCAACTTCTATCCAAGAGGTCAGCTGATGAAACCCACCCAGGGGCACCTCAGAAGTGAGGCCTGGTGATCTGCTTCTGAAATGTCAATCTGCCAACCGCACAGAGCACACTTGTGTTCTGCCGCACGTTGGATAGAGAGCCCAGAGCTGGCGTTCACCCGGCAGCTACTCCCAGAGACAACAAATATTTTCTAGACTTTGTTCATCTTGTAGAGCCCTCCTTACATCCTTTCAAAGGTTCCTCTCACTGTCCTGGTGTGGTCCCCATCCCTGCATATGAGCCTCTCCCCTTACATTTTGACTGTGGGAATATCCACTCCTCAAAAGAAGCAGTTGTCTGTAACCCCTGTCATAGAAAAAACAAGAAGACGAATACATGATACATTGCCTGAGGCACTTGAATGCTAACCAGAAGGTTCACAGTTCAAACACACCAGCACCTCTGCCAAAGGAAGATGGGTCAATCTACTTCCATAAGGATTACTGAGTTAGAAACGCAATGGGGGTCACTATAAGTCAGAATCAACTGGATGATAGTATTTTTGATATGAGATTTAGTTCTGGGTCATTTTTTTTTTCCTTTTCTAAAATTGTTATTGTGATTCAGCTGAAAGTTTACAGAGCAAATTCATTTTCCATACAACAGTTCCTACACATTTGGTCTCATGACATTGCCTGCAACTCCCCACAACGTTCCCGCTCTCTCCCCAATTCCCCACCACAGTGACCTCTTCCCTGTGTTTCCCTCTGTGCACTCCTGGCCCCACCCCACCCCTAGCTGTCTCCCTGTACAAACACTGCCCTTCTGTTCTCCGGTGAATGATCACTCCAAGTAGCTTATCTACCTGATGTAAATGTTCAGCACATATGTCTATCTATTATTCTGCTGGAAGCAACAGGAATTAGTTCAATTCCAGACTTGAAGGGTAGCTAGGGGCCATGGTCTCAGGGGTCTCACCAGGTTCTGTCAGACCAGCAAACCTGGCCTTTTAAAAATGATTTTGGGTTTTGTTCCACATTGTTTTCCCACTCTATCCAGGATCAACTGCATCAACCCCCTCTGAGTAGTTGGCAGTGGGAGCTGGGCACCGTCTAGTTCTTCTCATCTCATGGTCACATAGGCTGCAGATCATGTGGTCTGCCAGTTCCCATTAGTTGGTCTACTACAACTAATTGTTTCCATTTGTCTTTGGTGTTCTTCATTCTTCTTTGCTGTGGACAGAGAGAGCCATCATTGCATCTAGATAGCTGCTTGCAAGCTCAAAGATCCCAGTCGCTACTCACCAGAGTAAGATGTCGACTGACATTTTTGTGTAGTATGCTATGTCAATTGAGCTTGATGTCCCCTGTGAACATCGTCCCGAGACCACAGGTCCAACTATTCACACCTCCAGGTTACTGGCTGTGGCCAAGAAGTCTCCACAACCATGTCCCTTGTAAGCTCTACTATACAGTTGGAGTTATTCTTACAGCACATACAAATACACTTGTGGGAACATAGTTGGCCAACCTTATACATGGTCATGGGCACACTCGCCCCTCCATAGACATATCTGATCATTCAGTGGAGGTCAATTCTTAAGCTCTTGTTGTGTGTTTTTGTTTTGTTTTGGAATTCCATTTTTGTTGTTGTTGTTTTTCTTTCTGCCCACCCCTTGTTGATTTGTATTGTGCTGAGTATATAAGAAATATAACACCTACCACTCTTACAATCTGAACTTGTGGAGTTCAGGGACATCCATTATGTTCATGTTGTTGTTCATTCATCACCCCAGCCATTCCCAAATTCTTATATCAACCTTAACAGAAGCTCAGTGTCCTCAAAGCATTGTGTCTCCCTTCCGCACTCCCCCACTTTCCACACTAGCCGGGTCCCATTAAAGAACTCTACTGTCTGTACACCTGTCTATTCTAGATAGCTCATGGACTTGTGATCACACGATGCCTTTCATTGTTATCCAACCTCATGATATTACTAGGAAACAACCATGAGGAATAGCCTGATTCAACACATGGCAACCTTAAGGCTCAGACAGATTATGCACCTCATAGTCTCAGGTTAGTCTGCATTCCTGTCTGAATGTAGGCAGGAGATTTGTCATTATTCTGCTGTGTTGCTGCCAGGTGCCATCCAGTCAGCTCCGACTCATGGTGACCTCCTGTAGAACAGTGACACTGACCAGACCTGCACCGTCTTCATGACCTTCCAATGTTTGGCCCATTGATGCAGTCATTGTGTCAATGCATCTCATGGAAGGTCCCCTTGAATTCACTGGCCCTTTACTTTACCAAACATGAAGGATTTCTACAAATTGGTCTTTCCTGATGACATGTCCAAGCCAAGGAAGACATAGGGCCTGACATTCCCAGTTCATTTTTAGTCAAATAAGGGTGATAGGAAAGCTGCAGGATCAGTCCAGTTGTGGTCCTGCGATACTATTTTAAACACTTAATGGGAATTATCTTTGTATCTAACAGGAATCGTTGGGGATTGGAAGCATCACTTCACGGTGGCCCAGAGTGAAGCCTTTGATAAAATATACCAAGAGAAGATGGCAGGACTTCCTCAAGGGCTCTTCCCATGGGAAACATGACCTGATATTTCTGAGTCTAAGATGAATATTGATTCCCTTCCTGCCTTTCTACATGAACATCCTTAGATATGGAAGAATATTTGGCATTGTGTCCTGGGGACTTTAATCCCTCAGCATAATTACACACTTGATAATTATGAACTACCAATACTTTATTAAATTTGTGACATAGCAGCTACAATGGTTCCACATTATTTCAAACAAATAGGAAGCCACATTATGAAACCCATGTAAATGTTACCCAGGCTAAGATGTATAACAGAATGCTTTGTCATGTCTGTGGCTGAGGTATTACAGCATGAAATGACACGTTCAGTACACAGGTTCCTCTCCCTCTGTAGCCATGTCCAATCACACTTCTGTCTGCATTTCCCATCATTCATAATTACTCTGAATTCAGAGAGGATGTCTCTGCAATGGCTGTGCTTGGTGCTTGGCCTGGATCATCAAGCAGTGCTCCTGTGCTCCAGCTGGGTCTCGTGGTGGCACAAACAGTCAAACATTTGATTTCCTACTGAAAGGTTAGTGACTCGAACACAGGCAGAGGGACCTCAGAAGACAGGCCTGGTGATCAGCTGCTCAACAGTCACCGCCTTCCTTAAAACCCTAAGGAGCAGTCTTCTCTGTGACTTGTGGATGGCTTCTGATCATTTGTGCTCTGTAGCCATTGATTTCTGCAATATGGACATGAAATAGAGGATCTGAGATTGATCGGAGATGAATTTGTCATGAGTGATGGTGGTGTCATTCTACTTTCTCTTCCAAAGTCAGGTAGGGAGGCGGGACTGAAATTGAGGAAGGCTGTGGAGTGAGGCTAACGATTGACTCGCTCTTCCCTGCTTGTTCTTGGCTATGGTTTCATGACTAGAAAGGTATCCGACAGAGGCATGCATTCTGAGAAAGGGATTAGGAGAGACTTTCGTCACATAAAGGCATGTGACACTAGGCTTCCTAGAGATTGAGGAGTCTTACAGGATTCTTAATGTACCTGTTAGTGATCATGGGAGACTAGTTAGAGGGACAGAATTCTGAAGAAATATGGAAATAAAGAAGACTCCATTCTGGATGCTAACCATAGATGGGACACTGTTGGTGGAGGGAGAACGGGGCAGGGTGAGCTACATGTGGAAAGGTCAAAAGTTGAAGATACCGAGGCATATTCAGGGACTGAAATGAATGGATGACTGTTGTGTGGAGCACCAGGAAATGAGGTGGGGCATTTAAAATGTGGAAACTGCACATGCCACTACAGAATCTTGAAATTCTCTCAAAGGCAATGGAATCCATTGAACAGATTGAAATGGGGAAATGACTGGAGCACATTCTTAAAGATCACACTTTAAGGAGGCCTGATGGCTGATGAAGTGCTCAGCTAATCACTGAAAGGTCTGCAGTTCCAGTCCACAGGTGCTCCATGGGTGAAAATACTTGTTGACGTTCTTCCGTAAGGATTAGAGAATATTGTTATTATTTGCCATCTAGTTGGACCCAACACATAGCGACCCCTCCTTGGGTTTCCGAGGCAGTATCGCTAGGGAAGTAGATTGCCCAACCTTCCTTCTGAGGAGTGGCTGGTAGATTAGAGAATAGGAAAGCCCATTACATTTCCAATATGTTGCGGAGTGGCATCATTCATCATAGATGGAAACAACTTTTGGGTGAGAATGTATAAAGTATTAGAAAGGACCACACCAGTACCCATCCCTTTCCCCAACACAATTCTTTCCCAAGTCATTCTTAATCCCAGGTCTAGGTGAGCTAGTGATGGCAATGACACAACTCACCACTTCTCTGGCTGTCTTATCTGCAATGATTTTGGAAAGACTTCCAATGTTATTCATCTGAGTGAGCATAATTCTTGGGATTACATATTATCACACATAAATGTTTACATTTTTCTGAGATAGAATCCATTAAAGAAAACCACTCAATTGCCTATTTGTTATTTAAGCTTAAGTGAACTTTTCCAGTGCACATAAACCACAGTTTCAAAGAACTTGGAATTCTTTCCAAGAGAAATATTGGCAATTAAATGATTTCCAGTATATTTTACTTTTGCTGTTGTTGTTAGCAGCCAAGGACTTAACAACTAATACCACCTTGGGATGCCCATGGTTTTGTAGGAACAAGGGGCTGACACTTGCACATGAAAAGCCAGTGATGACAACAGGTTGAAGCAGGAGAGAAAGGGGATTTATTGAGTATTGATACAGAAAGAGACGGAGAGGATCACTTCTCTAAAACGTCTGGCTCCTCGAGCAAAGGGCCAAGTATAACGATACAGGGAAAGGGAAGGGCCCGAAGAGCCTCTGGACGGCCCTGGATGGCTTTCTCCTCCTTTTCTGTGGTTATTCCCGACTCAGTGTCCCTCTTCCCAGGCTCGTCCCGCTGCATGGAGTACGGAACTCAGTGGAAATCGGGCATGGGAGAAGTTTCTGTGCAACAGAATGGATAACGGAAAATAACATCTGCAGTGCATTTAATTACTTGGTTTGGTTTTTCTAGTTTCATCTTTGTAACTCCCTGGCTTACTTTGTGGGACCATGAAATAAGGTGTGTAGAACTCTGATAATGAGTTCTGCTTCAAAGGCCTTGTTAAGGCCGATGATTGCATTTCCAACCTTCCATTCTCCATGCTCCATGAAGCCAATCCCGTCTGTGAAACAAGTTAGATATAATTCACACACTGGCTGATCAGAGAGATCTGGCTTGTTGGCGTACACTATGTTTAGGTTCCTGACACAATGGTGATGAATGGGGCCTGCTTAGGGAAAGTGGACAGCAGAGTAGTGAGGTTTAAGCTAGTTGCTTGCTGGATCTGCACACTTGGCTTGTCTAGGACTTGTCTTTGGTCTAAGGCTATGAGCACGGAATAGGCAGAGTCACCGGGATGGTCTGCCCGACGGTCAGCTTCTCAGAAGCTCTCAGCGTCTTCACTACTGCTGCTGTCATCTTCCAGCAG